TGTCATAAAAGTAAATGAAGCGTTCTGGGGTCCATTTCCTTCTTCATTGCTGACCAGCGCTTTTTTACCTTCTGTGTCCCCCGGCCATAACATCCTTTTTCCATCATTTCTCATACTGAATCGATAATGAAAACTCTCTTCAAAGTATATTACCATATCATAGCTTATCGCGAACCTTCGAAAGTGTGAAAAGCATGCAACGGATCATGGTTTATATTTATCTTGACGAACTCGTTCCCATTACGCTTTAAAACATTAAAAAATAAATACTTTCATTTCTCTAGAAAAAAACTTCTACTTGATGTGAGTTGAAGTTTAATTTAAAAAAAAACTCAAAGAGGATAATATTGTCATAAAAAGGATAAGTGTCATAAACAGCTTAAATAGAATAATATTAGTCCCGTTCTGTATTGAAAACACTGAAGTCAGATGCATAGCAGATTCACCGATCCCCGATAACAAGACTCTGTTTCGTTCGAGCAGTCAAACTGTATAAAAAGCGCCATTAGTACCAGAGACATGCCAAGATCCTCATGAACATGCAAATTACCGTAGCATGTCGCATTAATATTTCTCGAGCAGAAATATCGTTATGAATATGCAACGATAGAACACGTAAAAAAAGGAAAACTAGGCTTAGGATGTTTCAGTAACGGCAGTAACAACGGCGAGCCTCGACAAGTGCGTTTGTTTGTACAGATTGTAATGTACGAATATTTTCTGTCGAGCGGAATACAAACTACGCGTTTACTCCCCTCTTCACCCCTTTTCGCTCCGCGTGGCTCGCTCTCCCTCGAATACCCGTGGAGCCATTCGCTGGGGCGGTTTCGGATGCGCCCCCGAAATGAGAGTCCGCTTCAGCGTCGCGAACGTCTCCGTGTCGATCTCGCCTCCACCTCTTCCGTCGTTTTCTCTTCCACTTTTTCCTCGCCATCCCTGCACCGTGCTCCGTTCCGTTATCGTTTTGTCATTGTATCCTGCTTGTACGCGTTCTTATCGGGTACCTTCATCCTTGTCCGCAATGTCCGCAAGGCACGTTCTCTCAGAGCGAACGGAAACGAGGTGCAGGCTGTTGTCCCGACTGCGCCTGCTTCCTGGCGGAAACGCGACATAATGCGCCTCATACCGCACCCCAGCGATGACCAACGTGCCGTGAAGAGGGCATCGGCCGCGATGACTTTTTAATCACGAAGCACACTGGAAGTTCACCCCTCGAAGCTCAGTTTGCCGTTCCCAGAGGTTCTCAACATGGTCCACGATTAGTTTGACAGAGGTCCCGAATTCAGTAGAATCTCAGTTAGCCCCTTGTACTATGATTTTTCTCATAACTGTGCTTGATATAACTACTTTATCGTCAGTAATTTAGTAGAAAAAGAAAATAACTTAGTATTTGTTCTATGTCTATGTTTAATCTAAAAATTAAAGATTGACAATAGACTTGTAGTATAATTACTTGCAATGATTGAAAATAGACAAGTAATATTTCATTTGTATTACAAATAAATAAATAACAGTTAGATGTGTCAAAATAGGTTTTAAGTTTCCGTCACAAATATGACACGATGTTATAGGAGAAGGGGTTAACCGAATCACTATTTCTTGCACTCTAGATCATTCAAAGTCCTGGATATCCACACACTCAGTAATTTGTATCCATGGATCCTGATACTTTAGGATATGTACGATCGAATTATGCAAATATACTTTGAAAAATCTCTTCTCGAGTGTTCAACTATCTAGATTGTCTGTCGCTTAATTAAATTGGATAATCCCGGTTTTACTGTATGACGAACGCTTTTATTTAAAAGAGTTATGAAAAGTCGATTTATTAATAACAAAAATTTAGAAATTGTTCCTCAATAACGAATGAATAAAATTAATGAACAGCTTTTTATTAAAGACATGTTTTGTTATGTAATATCTTGGCTATTTTTGTGTGAACTCTATTTATATGTAATGATTTTATGAATATTTGAATATTTCTTATTACTACACGAGTAATTATATATCATTTTCAATTTGTCAAAAGAAGTTTCACAAACGTTTGGAATTAATGAAACATAAATAATAGTGACGTTTAAAACCATCTGCTACTTTTTTGTAATATCTACCGTTATATTACATATTATATTATATTGTATATTATATTGTATATTATATAATACAATATTTTTTTTGAACAAGAAATAAGGAATTCATAAATAACTAGGTCGGAGAGTTTTAGATAGAACAGCGGAACATAATTTGACGTATGCTTTACCAATACAATCACCTACTACGTGTTTTAGGTATGATACTTTCTCTTTACTTTAACGTATAACTTATGTTGAAACGATACTTCAATGACGCTAATACACGGCAAAGGCGGTAGATGGTTCCGCTGACGGAGATAACGTTACTTACCTGGAAAGGTTGTTCTACGAATTTTGTGAGCCGAGGTTGGATACCATCTAACTTTAACAGAATTCCTTGGAATTAGTTTCAAACACTGTAACTTTTTGACACCATAAAAGATGAAAATAAATTGTAACATTAAAAACATACAAAATTATTTTCACCATGAATGATGTTAAAAACGAAATGTATAGGTACGTTGTATCACAAGAAAAAACTTGGGAATTGTCACTTGAATAGAGTCGTACAACAGCTGTAACATAGTATACAATACAATAGTGTATGATAGTCTTGTCAATTAACTTTTGCGCAAAGAAAATAACTATTACAGCTTCAACAGTCGTATACAGTTTAGTTGTTTCTCAGCAAAATTAAAGAAAACGTCTATAGATTCGAATAGTTCTCAGACAGGAGCACCAGAGGATTTTCTTAGATCGAAAAGGATATCTGAAACCACTATGTTTCTCCTCTATTTATGATTTTTCGGTTTATTAGTTAGACGATTAAGAGGTTGCTGCAGCATTCGATTTAGTATACGTGTAGACGGCGAATACGCCGAACGTACGTTCCAGGATGTAATCTATAATCGCTTCCTGTGCTAGAGATTGGGCGGTAGCAAGGGGTCGATTGTACGTATCCGTCACGTATACACACGGGGGATGTGTTTCAAGAGACACAATCGATTCATGGATCGATATTTCCTATTATAACAGTTATTTTTCAATCCCACTTCATTTAGTCTATTATAGTTCCATACTTTTCCCTGGCCGTTAAATCACATTCCAATTAATAAGACGTTAAGATTGGAGATAAAATCACAAATTTGTCAACATAAAACATGCAAAATCCTTGGAAAAAATTCAATTATACGTTATTATCTCATCTCCTTTAAATCAACACCAACTTCAAATTTGTATTTACAAGACATTCATTCAAGATTGTAACATCAAAAGTGAACATGGTTCAAGTATTTATAAGTTGCAAATTCTGTTTAAACTTAGTAACATTTAGCATTTAAAAAAAACTAGCATTTAAAGAGTCATCCCCCTTTAGCTCAAAATCGAAATCCGAAAAAAATCTCAACAGGAGTATGATAAAATCGTGCATTAAAAATTCGTCTGATTTCCATCGAATACATGGATCACAGGTTATGCAACGAAAATAAAATTCTGATCAGGTAATTGCCAATAAATGTTAAAATAAACCGCCACCAATACATGAAAAGCAAGAAAAAATTTTCGACAAGCACGAACGATCCGAAATCCGTCGTGGCCGCGGTTTTCCATCCAATTACCCGCGGGTCACTAATTCCGTGTTTCAACGTTAAAAATGTTCTTTTCCCCAGAGAAAAGGAAAAAAAAGGGAGAAAGGGGCTGAACCGTGAAAAATGTTTGCGCTGTTCCGGTTGTTCCCATGAGCGTGTGACTCGTGGCTGAATAACAGTAAGAAAGGGAAAAAAAGGGAAGAAACGAAAGAAAAAGGCAGATTCTTTACCGAAATCCGGTCGGGTGACGAAAGGACGCGGTTGGAGGGGTGAATGGAAGGGCAAGGGAAGCAGGGGCGAATCAGTGCGAATGGAAGTGGACGTTAGGTCGACCGATCGTCCTCCACGCGTCCGGCAGCCGGTGGATGAGTCGCAGCGACGAAGACGGCCGAGCGTTCACGAGTGTCTCCGAACCGACGTACCCTCGGCTCACGGCGGAGCGTCGCCCCACCACATCCAGTCGTACTGCGAATGCCACGCCGGGTGTTTCGTATTTGCGGTATTTCGGGACTTTTCGTGCGTCCAGTAAATTGTATCTCGTTGTCGGAACAGTGCATTCGGTTTTGCCGTCGAAGTCCACGCGAACGGGTCCCCCGGGTCGCGAGCTGAGCTTGCCAGTGGTCGTGGTTCTTTGTCGTTCGCACGGTAGTTGTCGCACAGCTGTCGCTCGTTTTCCCTGTTCGTTCCGTCTATCGCGGCGTGCGCCGCGAAACGAAAACCGTCCCGGAAAGCAAACAGTTGTGACCGAGGTTGAACGTTTTTCCGCTTCCGCTTTTGCCGATCCGGAGTCGGCGGGTGTGTTGAAACGTTAGAAGTGCGCGAAACGGGGTAATCGCGATGCGACAGCGTCGTGGGATGCTCGGTTTTCAGGACAAGACGTTTGCGGAGCAGGATAGACGAAAATAGAAGGGGTGTCGAGGAACGTTTCTGCCGTCGGTCGCGTAATCCCAGTGATTCCTTAAAAATTGGACGGCTCGCCGGGACGGATCGTCCAACTAAGATTCCGATAGTTTGAAAGGAGCGCGCGGTTCAGCGAACACTCGTTCTCGGCTGATAAGGTTCTTGTTTACCAACGTCGTCGTGCGGTTACACTTGCCACCCAAGGAATAATACTGGAGGCACGAAGGACGGTGGGAACGAAGGAAATAAGGAGTAAGGAGTAAGGAGGAAGGAGAGCGCGAGTGCGTTTGTCGGTGTTATTTACGGGCATAACAGCGCAAGACCGTAAGGGTATAAAACATAGCGAAAC